GTGACTTCGATCATTTAAGATGTAATTAAGTATAGGGGCTTGCCCTTATAGGAAGCTTTTCTGAACCCAGCTTAAAATAAACCCTATTTAATTCTTCTGTATTAAATAGGGGAACTTGTCGGCAAATAAAACGGTTTCGCAGACCAAACGGACGTCATATCTTTCTTAGTTTATTTGATCGAGCCTCATCTTCAAGTCTTGTGTTTATCACTCGGGATAGATACAGGATTTGAGGTAGAGTGCTCTTTCATTTAAACTGTGAAAAATATGAGGTCAGTTTGATTTCATATTTTTCTAAAATTATATATATACATACGTAAATTAAAAAGTCCTTCCGAAGCGGGTGACGGGATTTCGATTCCGGCTGCCGACAGCTTCTTACGGGCGACCCCCCAACCAATCTTTCCCCTTTTAAGCGCCGCAAGCAGAGAACAACCAAACAGGACAAGAAAAAACCAATTAGGATGCTCATGAGTAGGGGCAGCAGACCAAAAAAACACTAAACCAGCTTCACAACAAAGGGAAAGCCACCACAAATATCACCATTGTATTCCTTTGATATACATAAAAGAGTGAATGGACAAACTCACATAAACTATCTAAATTGAAACCATTTTACGAAACCATTTTATTAAGCAAGACATGATAATGAATTGATTCATTTATATCAAACATTCCCAAATAGAAGTAGATATTGAAATCATGAATTTTGGGATGACAAACTTGATTACCAACAAAAAAAAATCTCATGAGGAACGATATATGAAGAGCTTCCAACCCAAACCGTGCCCAGCAAAGGGGCAAACCGAGCCCACCAAAGGGCTAAAACAGAAATGATTCTAGCCAAAACACAAGCCCAAAAGAAGCCAAACCGTGCCCACCAAAGGGGGCAAACCGAGCCCAGCACAGGGACAAACCGAGCCCAGCACAGGGGCAAAACAAAAAAAAGAATAACTTCAGCTATAATTCAATTCCAAAAGAGCTAGAACCGAACCCAACCAAATGGGAGAACAGAGAAAATGTTTCCAGCATGAAGCCATTCCAAAAAGATCAATGATCGAACCCAACAAAATGAGAAAACAGAGAATAGTTTCCAGCATTCATTAATTTCAAAAGAACCAAAAAAAAACTGAGCCCACCGAATGGGCCAAAACGGGGTAAAATTTTTAGCATTTATTTGGACATAAATAACAATAATAAAAAGCATCAACATTTTATTTTTAACATGAATTATAGATGAGCAAATAGCATTTCAGAGTTCATATTCATGCCTTTCCCATGTATTTCGAGCAGAAAAAGAAATGCAAGCAATCCTTTCCCCTAAAAATCATTCTTCCTTTAACAATAAATTGATTCAGCAAGGAGAAAAGAAAGAAGGCTACAACTTTCAACATACAAGTATAAAAATAATAGAAGTGTAAGAAAAAGATTTGCATGTGACAATGAATCTAAACATGCTTTCCCTAAAATGTTATTTCAACTAATCAACATAGAAATTCTAAATCAGATCCAATAAAAGTATTGAAGGCCCAATCTTTGATATCAATACCATTACGAAATACCAGTTAAGACAAAACAAAGCCTCATGTATGCATTCCCTATTTTAACATTTTCAACATGTGTCGAGCAGGGCAACAAAATAGAGAAGAAAAGAAAGAAATATCTTGCTTGAGATTTCCTAAAGAAAAAAAAACACAGAAAAAGGACATCAAGCTTTCAAACACCCAGCACGCAAGGACTTAGCCGAGAAAGAACTTCAGCAGACCCTCTCTTCCTAAAAGCTTCGAGAAACAGTAACCAACGAGTACTTCAAACTCCCAAAACACAAGAACCTAGCTAAGAGGGAATTTCGACAGAGCCTCTCCTCCTAAAGTCTCGAACAGCAAAAAAAACTCAGCCTCTCCTTCTCTCAAAAAATTTTCAACAACCCAACACAGTGCTCTGGGAAGCTTTTTTATATGCAGAAATGAGAAGGAACAACCACATTTATCACCATTTTTGTGGTCGAATCAAGTGTGGAGGAAAGAATCGTCACAATAAAGACGGAGACGATAACACCTCGAGAAGGAGAAGGATCGGTCAGCCCGACCCTTGCAATTGGAGAACCGAAAGGTCAAGCGGCCACGCGAAGAAGGGGAAGAGTCGAGAGGGGGAGGATCGCAGCGTGGATGAGCCATGGAATCTATGGCACGCACGGGGACGAGCTGAGCGACCGATCGAGCCGCGAGATGGGTCAAATGGGGAATTAAGTGTGCGGATAAGGGGTAAATATGGTTTAAGATAAAAAAAATTTTATTATAAATAATGATATAAATATAAAAATATTTAATATTTCAAGAATAAGATTTGGTTTGTACCTTTTCATTTGTGCATTGTCCTTTTTAGGTAATTCTGACGTTCCAGACACTTTGGCGTGGTCCGTTTCGTCGTTGGAGATCGTTTTGACGAACTCATCGATTTGCGTGAAATTTGCTCGCGCGAGGAATTATGGCAATATTGGTGTCCGCCCTAGCTAAAATTGATGTCTCGAAAGCGTTGGCGCAATCTATTTCGTCGTCGGAGGTCGTCCGGAGAAGTTCACATTTTCACCCATCATTTATGTTCAATTTTAGTCCGATCTTGTACAACTTAGTGAATTTGCATTTTGTATGTGTGTGTGTGTGTGTGTGTGATGATAAAGTCCTGAAGAGGTTTTCCTAGAGCTTGAGATCTATTGAGAACTTCTCCCTGAGTCTACATGATAATCCTTAACCACTCGACCACACGACGATGGTTTTGAGATCATTAATGTGGGACATCACAAGAGAAATAGGAGGTGGCTGTAATTTCTAAGGGGATGGATTCCAATACTAGTTTTCTAAGATAGTCAATAGGAACCCCTAGAGCTAGATCCTAGGATCCTAAGGAAAAAAGTAATGACTTCAAAATGAGGTCAACAAGTACCAAGCTTATTATATAAATTATCAAAAGTTATAGTTTTTATTTTAGTCACTATCATTATGCAAGATTTCTAACTTCATTTTTAGCATAAGCATCAGCAATATTGAATTTTTGTGTTCGTACATGCTAGCAAGCATGTTAGATTCATTGAATTTTTTCTAAATGTTTTTATGCAAGTACAAGGAAAATCAATTCATTTGAGCACTCTTACAACAAGAGAATTAATACAACATTCGCATAACTAGCAATAACATATGTTAAAATGTTTCTTTTACTATTTTGCAAATTTGATGCATGATCAAATCATCATTCACTTTACATGAATTTCGCTATGATAATACTTTTCAGAAGTAAGTAATAGTAAAAATCTCACCGTGGAAAATATATCACATAAAGGTGTAACTAAAACACTTCAATTGTATTTATTTAAGTTCAGAGTGTAATGTGATTTATGATACAAATTAAAGAATTTTCTAATTTTGTTCCTCGAAAAAGTCATTAATACCTTATTGGAATGAGCCGAGTTGTATCTTTGAAGCAATTCATGTAAATCCAATAATTTCTTCGGAATGGGGAGGAAATCACAAGGTAGTGATATTAGTTTCTGAATCAGAGAATTCCATTTGCTTGAAATGAGCCCCAAAAGCAATAACTCCTATAAAACCATGGAAAAATGGGCATTATTTAATTTATAATAGAACATTACATGGTGTAACCTCAGCAATTTTAACGGAAAGATATTTAGCATAAAGGTGAACCTCTCTCTCCCTCTCTCTTTCCGCACTGGGATATCATGATTGCAGCAAATATTCATTTAGGAAATCTAAAATGTTCAAGGGAAGATCACAAAACCATGGTTTAGACAAAATTGGATTATAAAATTAAACAATGTCAAGTAGTGAGGTGATTAGCTCAATAATACAGAAGATTTCAACTTCATTGGAGGTATTTTTATCTACCATATACAGCCCCCCTGAAAATAAATAAAATATTGTTCTGAATGAAGAGCACTGTGTCTTACATACTGGATTTACATATGTCAGAGATACAATAAACAAACTATTATAAGAGATAACTAACTGGATAAACCTTTTCTTAATTTATTAATCAAGCAAAGTACAAATAATAAAATAGTATCACATAAACATTATTGCCAAAATGAAGTTGGTAGTCATATCAGGCTATGGTAAAAGCCACTAGACACAAGTATACCAGCTCTCAGCAGACTAGAGAAACATTTTTAAATAAACTTGCTAAATCGTACAATAGGCAGGCACGACGCGATAATATATATATATATATATATGTATATATATATATATATATATATATATTAAATTGAGAACTACAACTATATTTTAGATTATAAATAATGGTGTTGATTTTGAAATTGTATGTCATCCAAATTTGCTCCAATAGAGCCACCTCCAATAAGAAGACAGGAAATGACGGTAAATATTAAAATACAAAAAATGAGATTATACTTTTAGAGAAAAAAAATTGAGAGCATATGAAAAACCGCCTGTCTATATCCATGGGGAAGAAAATTTAATAAACATTTACACTACAAATTTGGAAACCTTAGCAAAACTTAAATCAATCGCTATAATTTAATAACTAGCATTGGTGAGTCCAGCCATAAATCCATGATATGTTCAAACAGCAAAAATGTTAGGTTACATGAATATTTGCACTTTCCTACAATATTTGCATTGAAAATTGCATGGTAAACAAGACAAAATATAAGTAGTGTTCATATAAAATTACCATAATTTCAATAACATTATCATAGTAGGGATCAGTTGAAAACATTAACCCTTCAAAAATCCGACTCCATTGATCCTTGGGTGCTTGAAAAATCAACTCCGCACCGGAAAGTAATTTTGTGGTTCTCTTGTCTAGCAAATATGAAACACACCTTGATCTCCACTGATTGAACTGGTTTAGCTCCATCAATATTTGATCACCACTGAGAGAATACCAACATTTATTTCTCCAGTTAACTTAAAAAAAGAAGTTGTTATCATATTGTTACCCTTTCTTAGTCTATAAAAAATGCAAATTTGTGAATATCTACAAAATTATGTCATACAATTAATTCCTGCAGATCATTACAACAAAAACAAATGACACTACATCTTAGCAATAGTTTTAAGAACATAAGCTAATCTCAACAGGTTGAGCTGAAAATAATCCAACCAGGTAAATTAAAAGACAAATTCGTAATATCACACATTTTGAAACCAACGTTATAGCCTAATTTTTGTCCGAGTTACAGCCCCAGTAAGATTTAAGCAGAATGCACCTGATACCAATAAAGATAACCAAATCCAGATATGATTCGCTAAAGGAATATTAATTTCAGACCGAAAGCATCATTATATTAATATAATATGAATATCATTCTTTATAGTCCCAAATAAGCCTGAATCAACAAGACTGTAAGTCTCCATTCTTGCCAAAAGAATTGTTCATCAAGTAACCAATTAGTATTTATAGTGGATCTCAAACAAAGTAAAGTGTTTGAATACCATGAAAAAAATTCTAAAATAATTATAATAAATTACTCATGCAAATTTAACTTCTTCTTAGCACCATGAATGATTTTAATTAGTTGTCCCCTTTTTCTAATATAAATTTAATCTTACAATAGTTTCCATATTATATTCGTTGTAAACCTAATGAACCAATCTTACAACAGTCATGCAGAATAATTAAAGCTTTTCTGGATGCTATTTTATTAATCTAATGATAGACACTTGTGATAAAAAATCAAGGCTTAAATGAGCAGCTTTCATGTTCCATGTAAATAGGAAAAGAAAAAAAATTGATAGATTCTCAAAGAGTTCTAACTAATGGCCAAAGTATAACATTCTTCCATGTGTTTGGCACTAGAAATCAGAAGAAAATTGGATATAGAAATTCCTTAAATTTTTTAAAAAAATGCTTACTCCGAAGATGCCCCATTAGCAGATTTCCACTCAAACTTTGTGTTCTCGGAACCTATTTTATTCCCTGCAACAATCTCTGACAAACCATTTATGCCTTTCTCAATCAAAGACATATGGGACATGACTGCCTGCCTACTTAAAATTTCTCGAATGACAAAGAAAGAAGTATCAGCACCAACGCCCCCCCTCATTTCATCATTAAACATAAGGTGCGTGTGAAGATTTTTATCTAATTGATTCAAGGATTTAGAGGTATTGCGATCATTCTCTGGCAGCAAGGCTGTAGTCACTTTTTTCAAGCCCATTCCTGCCCCTGCAAGCTCTAGCGAATCCATTTGCAATGCAAGCCTCTCAATATAAACTTTCTGACAATCATTACGTGATTCTGTGAGTTCATCAAGGTCCAATTCAACAACAGCTCTAAGAAAAGCAACAAAATGCTCATCTTTTATAGGGTAAGTCTGAAGTAAATATTCTAAGACAATTCTTCTCGCATTAGAAAGAGTTGCAGATGTCATATGCGCAAGGCCCTGCCGTTTAGAAGTTAAGGAAAAAAAAAAGTAAATTTCAGCTACTCAAATTTGAACAACGGAAAAAACTACATCTTTGACATTTCTGACAATAAACCATTTGCTGACCAGAGGGAAAAGTGGATCTGATGTCAGATTGAACAGAACTGCATCAAGCTCCTTCACAGATTCCTCGTACTTACCATAAAGCTCCAAGCTTTTCAACACCTGAACAGCAATTAGCCGCATTTAGCAGAAGCAGTAACTCTAACAATGTTGGCATTAACGAGAATCAACAAAAAGGTTCAAATTCATCACTTCAAGAAGAGCGATTAGAGTGCATACGTTTTCAAAGAAGAGGCCCCATCTCACGGCCTTTTTGATGTTATCGACGTCCCAGATGGCAGGAAGGCCGGATGATTGGTAGCCTGAGGCCAGAACAAGTATGTCTACGAAGCCCTTGATCTGAACAACTAGATCAGCCATCGAAATATCGGGATGAGACCAACCCATCTTCTTTGCAAGAGCAGTAAGGACCGACGCTTGGGTTCCAAATTCGAAACCCTTGGAAAGACGCCTCAGCCGTTTATACTTCCCGCCTTAGGGCAGTTTAGTTATTAAGATTTGTATGCATTTACATATCTCACGCCTAAATTTTTATTTTTACACACAAAGCACTCCGGTTTTTAATATCATGAAAAAAAAAACTCAAATTTTACAGGTCTGTTCTAATTAAATTTTGAAAAGTAAATTCTAACTCAATATGTAATTGATGGAAGAATTTTTTATGTCAAAAATAAAAAGGCAAATAATTAATAAGGAATTATCAATTTTCTTATCTGACGTGCAAACTTCAATTTTTACATAAAAATTGGTCCCATAATGAAGAGTTACAACGCTATATCAAGTGCAACACATCCATGCTCAATGTACAGAACACTTCATGAGTCTAAAGAAAGTTGTTGAATTATGAGCACAATTATTAAAAGTATTTTTTTTTTTGAACTATCGTCGAATCTCTAATATAGTGTTATTTGCTACTCTGAATGTCAGATATTTTATAAGTCTTTATTCATGATACCATGTTACTCCATAGTCAAGATACTTCGTAACTTTGTATTTAGAATACTTCATTACACCGTATTTTAGGGGTACACCGTTACACAACAAAGTTCAGCAACAGTGGCAAGCTGGGGCGGCTGGCAACCTGCGAGTGATGGTTGAAGGCTACGACATCCAATAGTTATTGTCAGGTCTTCTATTTAGAACAACACTGAAATTTAACTCGTTTTTATTTCCCTCAAGTGAAGAGAGGATGTCTATTTATAGACTCAATGAGAGGGGTGTTTTGATCATTCAGACAACTCTCATACCACCAAATTAAACAACCCAGGTTGATACCCCATGATCACAAGAAGTCTCTTAATTATTTAAGGAACTTAATGACCTTATAATCGAGTGATATAAGATTCCTTGGATTCCTCTCGTCGAGACGCTCAACCTGACTATAAGTAGGTCAAAGTTGAAGTGCATTTGACCATTCAATTAATTATTTTAAGCCTCTAAATGTGGTTCAATGGTTCGATCTGATCTCAATTAGACTCAGATTAAATCAATTTTGATATCATTGAGTTTATCTTGTAGAGATAACATAAATTTACTGAAATCAAAACTCTAAATGATTTTTGATTTGAATCAAAACATCTTTTGCTCAAAAAAATGCATGGAAATATGTGTAAAATAATGAAATTTGTTGATGATGCATCAATATAAAAATTTATCTTTTACCTTTTAAAAGTTAAAAGGGTGATTTTTTTTTTATGTGATGTGAAGATTTAGGATGGTATAAATACAAAAATTAAAATTTAGGTGATATATTTGTAAATACATATGAATTGGGTGATATGTATGTAAATATCCCCAATTAATATTTGATTAGTCAAACAACATATGGCAAGCTAAAGATATGTGTCACTGGGATAATCATATGGATGTTAACAAGGATGATGACAACTAACTTCAAAAGCATCAGTACCGTCAAATATAGTTTTAGCACTGTGTAGTATCCCAAACTCTCTTAAGAGCTCGCTAGCTATGAAGATTTATTTCCCAAATAAATTGAATTTAATTGCAACTCTACTTTACTTCCAAGAGGCACAATTTCGATATTTGCAAGTAGATGCAACCATCATATCAGCAAAAAATAAAAATTTGTTCAAATTCATAAATGTTACCATAATGGATGAACCACCGTATTGTCAAGCCTCTAAAGCCCTGCAACTGTTGTTCCTTCAACCTTAAACTTTCAATAAGCATGACACATGCCTCTGCAACACTCCACTTACTCCTAAACTAAAATAATCAGCCCCTGTTCTCTAGTTCTCTTGACTCACCACTCTCCTTCCCTTCCAATGTTTCAAACAGCTCAGCCTTATAAACATAAAACTTACAAACAATCAAAAAGAAGAAAAAATTGCAGAAACTTAAGATGGATAGCAGCCTGTAATAGTAATCAAGATGAGAGGCATTCAAATTGTTCAGAATCCATCCCTTTCTCCCATTTCTCTGTGTGATATGTGCCACTAAAGACAGCAGAAAACTACTCAGAAAGTTCCCAACTCCATAAGTAACCAGCGAATATGCAGTACCCAAACTTTTCATACCCTCAGGAGCTTGATGATAAAAAAAATCTATCTTCCCCACGACCAGAAAAGCTTCACTCACTCCCATGAGCACAAATTGAGGAAGCAATATGAATATGGTAAGAGGTACTCGGCCTCCATTATTCGGATTATCTCTTGCAACACTCAGCCTCTTTTTCTCCACTACTGAGGCAACTATCATAACCGTGGCATCAAAAACAAGCCCAATTCCAAGTCTTTGAAGAAGAGAGATTCCTCTTGGATTCTTGGTCCAAGCTCTCATGATTCTGACAAAGTAACGGTCGTAGAGGAAGATGGTGATGAGCATGGAGATGGTGGTGAAGGAAACAAGGCTGGCTGGAGGGATTTGGAAGTGAGGACCAATGTGGCGGTTGAGCGTGGTGCCTTGCTTGATGAAGAGGGTGTTCACCTGTACATTTGGTTTGCATTTTTCTCAGTATTAGTTGGTGCTGATATTCAGCATTACAATATAAGAATATGAGTAAAGTTCAGGTGAGAAATTATGGTGCACCTGGGAAGTTATGATGGATGGGATGAACATGGAAATGAGGACTGGGATCAGTCTTAGCATCTGCTTTGTTTCCTCTATGTGAGTTACAGGGCATAGCTTCCAGGGATTTTTGCTTGTGCCTACCATAACTGCTGCTTTGTTTAGAAACCTGGTGGATGAGTAACAGCAATCTATTAAGGTTGGGAATGGCAGTTATTTTAGTTGGTAATGATTTTAATAAATAATAAAGAAAAAAACATTAAAGCAATATACAAGTGAACTAAAACAAGCTTCAGGCCCCCCACACAACATGCCTGCTTACTCAGACAAACAATCAAAATATTATAATCCAATTCCTTCCAATAAAAAAATAAATTGTTTCATCTATAAGAAAAACTCTATGTTAGGCTCATATACAATATAAGGGACAGATGCTGGAGCGAAACGGAGTGAGCCAGTATAACGGAGCTTGCTAGCGGAGTGGAGTGGAAGCATCTGTCCAATTGGGGGAGTTTTGTTAAGTGGGTTAGGGGTGCCCGGGCAACGCCCCGGTGATATGGTACAGGGGTAATTTTGTAATGAGATATTGTACTCTAGGATTATATATAGGTTATATATATATATATATGTTGTATTGTAACCCTAATGGGATGTACTCCTTTTCAAGAAATCAAAAAAGCCTCCGCTCTTGCTCATGATGACGTAAGCAAATTGCCGAACCTCGCTAAATCCCTGTGTTTGTTTTTGATTCTTGTGTTTTCTTTGCCCTAATTTCTCAACACTCTATGATTAAATAGAAAAAATGTTTTCATAAGAAAAACATGTAGATGAACAAGATAGAGTAGATGACTGACCTCATTGAATCTGTGGATGGAATTTTAAACCTTTTTTTCTTCATATACTCTTCTGAATCCAGTTCATAAAGCTTCATAGAATCCTTTGGCAGATTCACTCTAAATTTTCTTATTGAAGCAACCAAAACTCTTGCAATCTTTGTGAAGGGACTCCCTTGAGGCAACTTGTGTCTGTAGAATGAAGTCCCAGCATAGAAAATCACCAATGAGATTGCAAGCCCAATTGTAGGGATCCCATACCCTAAAGTCCAGCCTACATTGTCCTGCATTTCGCAGCGTAAATAAGTCGAATATAAATGAACTCAAAGTAACTGTAATAAGAGTCACTGAACTTTTTTTGTGCCAATTCTAATCCAAAATTTTGTAGTTATACAACTTAGTCCCTCAACTTGTGAAATTTGGATCACTTTGATTGATGGAAGACATTATGAGATTAATCCTATTAATTTAAACTGCTATTAAATAGTGAGATTGATTTAAAAGAAGTAAAAAATGCCATTAAAAAAACTTTTCCACCCTCAGTTTCATTACAGACAAACAAGAAAGTTGGCAATAGGGGATGACTAAACTGAGCATCTAGAAAAAATATCTAGGACTTAAATGAACCATCTAAAAAGTCAAGATACTATTTTAAATATGGAAGATTTACATACATACCACTGAATTTCTTTGTATTTACACATCTAATAGCTAAACATCAATTTTTACATACATGCCATCTTACAAAAGATGTATTTTACTTTTTAAAAGTCAAAATAATGATCTTTTTTATGTGATGTGAGAGATTTGAGTGGTATAAATATTAAAAATGTAAAATTTAGGTTTCATGCATGTAAATGCATAGGAATTGGGTGGTACGTATGTAAATACTATGTAAATACCCCAAATACGAGGTAAATTTGACTTGTTCATCAACTTATCCAAATCAAATAAAGCCTTACCTGCACATATACAAGCATGATATTTGCAAAGAGGGTTCCCAGGTAAATGCTGAACATCCACCAATTGAAAAAAGAGATTTTATCTGTTCTCTCTTTGGTATCGAACTCATCAAATTGATCGGCCCCAATGGTCGAAATGTTTGGCTTGGTGCCTGCTGTGCCCAATGCAATTGTGTAGAGCGCGCTAAAGAAGATGCCAAGCTGAAGCTTCGACGCAGGCTTGCAGTTCCCGGTGCCAGCAATGTCTTGTATGTTGCAGGGTGGTGGCTTAAGTGATGGAAATGATACAGCTGCAGTTAACAAGCACATTCCCTGTGTTGCAAAAATAGTATGTTAAGTGCATATTAATCAATTAAAAAATTATAGTGGCATTTACATGCATATCACACAACTCTTAAGTATTTACATATCTAACCCCTAAACATATTTACATGTATACCACCATAAATAACCCAACATGTTGGACTCAATCACCATTTTGACTCAATCTATAAGTTAATGTGATTAGGTGTTTGTTGGCCTAAGACTTTAATTCAGTGTGGAAATTTACTTTCATATTGATTGAAAAATGGAGTAGGAACAATAATTATTGTTGTATTCTAGCTCTGTTGTTTCTAACATTGTACTACTTGCATGTTTTCTTCTGTGTCTTTCTAGATGGTCTAAGGTACTAATTTCTTTGTTTTCAAATGAAAGTATTCAGTAATGGCACACAGAGATATTTAAGCTTCATTTAATAAATTTAGCTCGACATTATATCTTTATTAAACTATATAAAATTAACCTATATAAACAATTCTTATGTATTTACATATCTCACATTTTCATTTCATATTTACGTACATACCAATCAAATCTTTTATATCACATCAAATATAGCATTATCTACGTTTTAAAAATGAAATCCATCTTCTAATGCATAGGTTTAAAATACCAAAGCGGTGTGTATGTAAATATAAAAGTTTAGGTGTGAGATGTATAAATACATAAGAATAATGTGCTATATATGTAAATTTTCTTAGCATGTATAGAATAATAAAATTGCCCCCACTTGGTAGGATAAAGGCTTCCTGTTGCTGCTGTTGTTGTGCAGAATAATTAAATTTTAATTTATTTACTCCAGAAAAAAAAAATTAATAAAGAAAAAAAGGAGCAAAAGAAGCCTTAGAGCTAAGACCCAAACTTTTTTAAGCAGAAAAGCATGTATATCAGCTTTCATTCAGCTAGTTACCAGTAGTGATCCATGAAACAAATCCCTAACAATGATTAAAATTAAAAAGGAGTTACATAAATACCATCCAATTCCCGTGTATTTATATATCTAACACCTAAACTTTACATATGCATGAAAAGTTGTATTTCACTCTCTAAAAGTTAAGACTTTGGTCTTTTTCATGTGATAAGAAATGCTTGCGTGGTACAAATGTAAGAAATAAAATCTAGGTGCTGGAGATATTTTTAAATACGAGAAATATTTGCGCGCGTAAGACGTACGCAAAACTGTGAGAGGTTACAGAGAGGGTATTGGGGGTTATATCCGCGTTATACCCCCTGTAACCTATCTATAATCTACATGTAACTAGTAAGTTCCACACTTCTGTTTTCATATATTTCTAAGTTACTCAGAGATTACAGGGGTATAACACAGATATAACCTTCAATAACTTTCCTGTAACCTACCTGACGTATGTCTTATGTAAGGAATTGTGTAGCAGGCATGTAAATTATGGTCTTTTTCTTAGAATTTTGAAGAATGACAATGGTTCTCATCATTGAAATTACCAAGAAATAAACAACAGAGAAGATAGTGAAAGTCCTGTATCGACCAAGATGTGCATCGGCAATGTAAGCTCCGGCGACGGAGGACAGAAAACCAGTGCCCATCCAATAAGTAACGTTGTTGGATGATGCCACTGTGCCCTGATGGAGCTTTTTCGTCAAATAAACCACCAAATTAGACGATATTCCATAGTACGCCATTCTCTCGAACACCTCATATACTGCAAAAAGTAAAATTTTCATTTCATGAACTACATCAGAAATTCACATAAAAGAGAGAGAATGATTGATTACCGACGATAAAATAGCAGGCAGTCCATCCACCTCTCTTTGATCTGAGGACTGGCCTGCCTTTGAGATCAACGGAGCCATCCTTTGTGTAATCAGAACGCCCGCTCTCTGAGCCGTTTGCTTCCATTTCTCTGTTCCTGCTGCTGCTGCTCGGAAAGCTCGTTGTTGCAGCACTTATACACGCATATATAGACAGAGAGAGATCGAGAGCACTAACCAGTGCTTCTTTTGAATTCCTGATTGTTGCGGCGCGCGCGCGCGCAGAGAGAGAGAGAGAGAGAGAGAGGGGAATCACCCCTCCGCACTCACTAGTGCTTCTTAAAGAAGTTTTACCTGGGCATAAGGGAATGGAATAAGGCTAGCATATGGCATGTGGCCTAAGGGCAAGTAGCACTCTCCATTATTTAGGGGTATTGATGTAATAAGTTGTAAGTGTATGTATTTGGATGGTAAAACTGATTTTCTGTATTGGAGCTATTATACTTTGCCTTAATGGCATCAGAGCGGAGCCCCAGGAATTTCGGGCATCTCTCAATCCAGTTCGAGTTCGAGTCATTTTCCCCATCACAAACTAAAGTGATGGCAAAGAAGTCCAGCCCAGCCAAAGATGGCTGACAATCTAATCCTTCTCAAGAAAAGAGATACAAGGAATTTTGGGCATCTATAGTTCCTTCGAGCTCCAACCTATGAAATCCAACCTGCTCCTCTGATCAAGAGATTTAGAATACGATAGGCCACTGGTGATAGTAAGAGATCCACTATTAACTCCTGGTGTGAGATTTTTTTGTGGCCACACACCATAAAATTTTCGGAAGATTTCTATCTAAATGACTTAGCATTATATTTGAAGAATAGTATGCCACCCTAAGTGGAGGAATATTCCCTTAAAAAGGGGTCTGATCATTCAGATGATGAAGAGATCATCATGAAGACTTTCATAAATTAACGGAACCAAAGTTTTTTCTCTTACCTTACGAATGTAAGATAGTGTTTATTTTATTATGAGGTTGAGTTTCCTATGAGGGCAAGCTCTCATAGTGAATTATATCTCTAGCGTCGTGAGCCTTAAAGAAAACTCTCAATTAATCTGATGACTAATGCTATTCAGATTCGAAGGTTGAACTTTTAAAAACTGATTTTTTCTTGGGCGAATGAAGGACTCAAACTAGAAGAATATAGCTCAAAATTCAATGAAAGTGTGTCATGAAAAGACCCAAACAAAAGTGATTTAACCATCGACGGAAGAAGGTTTACCTAAAAAAGGGGGTTGAAGAGTTTGAAAAAGGCTGGTAGCGAGTCTTTTTTTATCAGCTAAGGTCAGGGGATGACATCAAGAACTATTTGTTTGATTGGTATACAATGAAATAACATAACATGCAGAAGGACATAACATATATTTTGCTTGGATTAGGCTTGTGTAATTAGAACGCCTGCTCTTACTAACGCTTCTTATTAAATTCTATCTGTGTTTATGTACCAAACACTTTAATTTTAATTTTTACATATAAGTCATCAAATTCGTGCATGAAAAAATGTATATTTTTTAAAAAAAGTTAAAAGTAATAGTATTTTTTATGTGATATAGAAAATTTTGGTGGTAGGAATATAAAATGTAGTTTGAGCGTTAGATATGTAAATATATAAGAATTGGGTTGTATATATGTAAATGCCCATCTATTTAATTAATTCTACCGTTGTATTTGACTGAAAGATGAGCCATGGTTTCATGAGAGCAGCCTAAAGTTGACCAAATTAAATCTCACAATTGTTTTACTTCTAGAAACGCATTAAAATGTCTGAGTGGAAAATTCATAGTCAGAGATAGCACAGTTAATCCCATGAGTGGATATGAAATCTGCAGATATATATATATATATATATATATATATATATATATAGCACGCACGACCTTTATATTTAGAATAAAAAGAGCTCTCTCACACTAGCAAGCAGGACCTTTAAATTTAGTATGAAATGAGCTCCTTCACGAAAAGGAAGATGTAGCTATAAATCAAATCATTAATTTTTTCTCAAATTAATACAAATTTCAAAGTATATTTTGTAATAGTTGCTGCTTCATTATAAGGGGGTGTAACTAATTTTATTTTTAAGGATGGACAAAATTATTAAATATTTAAATTATTTTTTAATATTGGGTAATAAAATATAATGAGGGGTGGGCGACAAAATTACTAAATTATCGAGATTTTATAAGAAAAAAATAAATTTTATTGTTTATATAGAAAAATCTCAATGCAAATATTGCTGAAAATATAAAAATATTTAAATATAACAATCCAAAAAATTAGGAAAAAATATTCCATCCAGACGTCCGTATATATGGACGGCCAACCAACAACGGCCACGTCTCCCGCCGATGACGTGTATGACGAAGTGGCCGCCGGGTGGTTCGCCGTCCGAACGTGCGGTGTCTGGACGGAATATTTTTTCAGAACATAGGGGACTCACGTCCACTCTTAAATTATTCCGTACGCAGAAGGGTTTCATTTTCCATCAATATCTAATTCTTGATAAATGAGTAGCAAGCACAGTAAAAGCACAGCAAAGTGCTCACCAAATATATTTTACAAGTTCACACCTCTTTTTGATATATTAGTAAAGATTCATTCCCTCATCTAAATAAGTCTCATTGTCCCTTCATTAAAGTAGCCTAGAATACTGAATTCAGGCCCTGGAATGTTCACACATGAGGCTTATATGCAAATAAAATATAAAAATATTTGTTATAATATAAAATTTTCTCTTAAAAAGTACAAAGATTTAAGTGTTATGCATGTAAATATGAAAATTTAGTAGTTAGATATGTAAATATGCAAGGGTATGTATGTAAATGCCCTATTTTTTGTAGCCATTTTGGTGGAAACAATAGACTTATTGGTTGTACGTGTAGGCTAATTTAGTTGGGATGTCATTTTTGTTAGACTTGACTTTATTGTCAATGCAGACAATGATGTCAACATTTGATCGAAGGGTTTGCAATTGGGCAAAACCTTAAAATAAAGATAAATTTGTAATTATGTGCCACAATTTAAGAAAATGATAAATTTGTACTTAAATGGTTACCAAACGCGTCTTATAGGCATTATTGTTTAATTATTTTTTTGGAATAGACCAATTTAAATGCTTTTTTAAAATTTCTATTTGGAAGTGTCAGTAAATAATTGAACATGATTAAAAAATTAGATTGATTTTATCTTTTTTTAAACATATTGACTTCATAAAACTATGATTTATGATAATGAATGCATACTTTTCTTAAGCATTTTGGAAATGCATAGTTCACTCTATATCTGAAAAAAAGTATTAAATTAGGAGTTCTCATGCAAAACTGCATCAGAACTCTAATCAATAAAAATGTGCAATTTGATTATGTCGAAAGTAAATCTCAATCTGAAGGGATATTTTCATCAAACTGTCCTTAAGTCTCAATAAATCTTAATGAAATTTTAAGACAGAAGTCATGAAATTTTCTTAAAAAATCAAATAATGCGCAATTGATTTTTTTCTTAAATTAAAAAGCAAAAACCCATAAATGTTCCACACCAGTTTATTGAGAATGATAAATTTATTATTCTAATATCATAAAAAGCGAATGCAATATAGTATTATATTTACTCTCAAAATAACTAATGTCAATAATAAAGTGATCTGAGTCCTCTAATATAATTTTGTCCACCAGCTCTTCAAATATAATTATTATGACTAAAGTCCTCTAACCAAGTGATATAATCTAATGACTGCACCATATTATAGCCATGGATATAGCTCATATGAACAAGAGCATGTTTAAGCTCAACTTAGGCTCGATTTGAAACTTTTGAGACATTGTTCAAGTTCTATTCATTTTAATTCATTAGAGGTCAAGTGCGAATTGAGCAAGGCTCATGCCTGAATTTAATGAGGTTTAATCGAGCAACTCCTTTAGAATTATCAACTCGAACCTGTTCTTTTTAAGCTTGTATAATACTAACATACTTAAGATTAATAAATCAAAACAATTCAATTAAGTATAGAAATTAAGAAAAAAAATGATTTAAAAGGCTTTTATTCTTTTAAAAGAAAGCTCTAAATCACAACTCCTCCAAGAAGGCATGCTCACAAGCTCTTATAAATGCTCACTTTAATGTGTCGTGCATTTTCATTCAAACAATAATAATAGTAATTCACATTCAAATGCGGGACTAAATGCATAAAGAGCAAAATATTTCATGTGAAGGCTTCACATCATCATGTTAAATGGCTGAACTGCTAGTTTTTTTTCTACTGGAAAATTATCCCCACTAGTTATTTGAAATCATCCTTTTAAGTTCCACTGTGATTGTATTATTATTATTTTCTTAACTTTAGTTTTGCAAACTCTCAATGTATATTTGAATCAAAGGAAATATGATATGAGGAAGGTTTCCAAGATGCTTGAGGCGTGGAACCACATGATGAGGATCAAAAGAAGTTAGCTCGTGTCCTGTATTTTAATTCCACGTTTTTGATTTTCATGTATAGATCTAGATTTGGGTGTGTATATGCGGAGTCTGACCACGATCTTTTGCTTTTCTAGGATATGTTGCCGGCTCAACGGTTCCGACCTTTCTTATTATTTATAGGTTTGTCTTGATTTACTTTGCGTTGTGTGCTTACTATTTCGACATTCTTTGATTGTGGTTTATTTGAAAATCCTGCGATATAATTTTGGCTCTCTAAGAACTTAAAATGATATTTTTTAAAAATCCTAATAAGAGATCGAGATAAAATTAAACTTAGGATTAAAATATTTCAACTATTTAAATCTCACACTTTACTTTTTTGTTTGGCCTTCGAGCCGATTTTAAAATGGATTGCATGCATGGTTATTGCCCAAGTCATATTAATATGACCTCCATGCTTAGGACTTTAGATAGTTACATTATATTGCATGTTTTGAGGCGAGCCTCCGTGCTTCTTCAACACGACTAAACAAGCATATTTTTTTATACTTAGTTGGTTGTCTGACACAATTAAACTGTCAAAGGCTTGCCTGATATGAGGTATAGTTTCTTTGTGGCACTGTTTTCAATTTCGTAGCAGAGGCACTATTTTCCCTTCTTTCTAGTGGATTCTTTATTATTTACTTGACATGTATAAGTCTCACATCTTTTAGCTCTATCTTTATAGAGTCATAGGTCTTAAAGTTTCATTCTTTTGATCTTAGGGCTACAAATGTCTCATTAGATGACAATTTATGGATTGATAACTGGGATCTCTGGTCATGTTGGGTCGTGTACTTTCTAAACTTGGTGGCTTGAAATGACAAATAAATGACATCCTGATGCTGACTACCATTACTTTGTTGAGCCTTTTTGAGCTCATTCTTCATTTTGTGACTTCATTGATGTCATATTGACGACCTAACTTACCGATAAATCTTCACCCATTTGGGATACCATGATTCATCTCTGCTCTTATGACCCAATAATAAGCTTTGAAATAAAAGGATATTTCTATCAAAATGATTTGTTTATTTTGTAGGTCAAGTATATAGATGAATTGCTGCCCATTTAGGATGCGAAAGACTCACTCTTTGCCCTGTGACTTAGTAGAGCTTTAAAAGCGTCGGGATATTCCCAATCGAAATAATCATCCTTTTGATGACTTATTTATTTGTTGTCATGGTAATATAAGAAAGACAGATTTTATCGAGAATATTCTTGGATATCCTCCAAGATGAAATTAACCAAGGGATACATTCTTTTAGGTGTGCTCTGACCCCACAACAAAAATGACTTTTTGTTTTTCTGGTTATAGGCGGCTTATGTAGGGACTCTCTTCGTGAATATCATGTTGTGATATATTTTGATCATATTTTGTCTGAACGTATACTCACAACCTATCACTTGAGGATTACCGTATATAGGCCATTCATGTTTCTTTTTAAATTTATTTGTCTATCTTTATCGTATATCCCATTTTTTTCAATTCCTCATCTCTTCAAATCATTCTTATGATTCGGGAGAGAGACTTATTTGGAATTCATACGCCGACGACATATAAATACATAAGATGACCATTCCGAGTTTATAAAATAAACAAAAAAACAAACATCAAATAACATATCCAAATAATATAATATTCCGTTATTTTACAATCTTACTATCACAAAATTTTAGAGACTTAACACAAGGCTTAAAGATAACACATTCATAAGAAGAGTACATATCAACTATAACAAACTAGATAAATTTATTTGCATGATTTGTGAGGATATTGTTCTGCATCACTGCCCTTGTAAGAGTCCTTAAACGCCTTAAGATTTCCCGGGCGGGAGAAAACTACCTGCAAATTGATATATTCCTTTATATCAAGAAAATGCTAGTTTACATATCCCTAGAAACAAACAATATATATAAAGAAATAATAATAATAAAAACTAAGGAAGGTGGTAAAATAGGAAAGGGAAAGAAGAATATTGAAGACAACATTCAAAAAATATGATACTTCACACTTATGAGAATAGCAAATGTATTTTCTTATACCAAAGACCTCACCAAAATAATTGAACAACATCATAAATTAAGCATTATATAGTATCTTAGTGATCATACAATTGTGAAATCAAAATTTATTAAGCCTTATAAAACAACAACTATAATAATTATGTTTAGGGCATAAGTGCTTGGTCATGGATACAACCATTAATAAACTATTCAAGCATTTAAAATTAATATGCATTAAATTTTGAAAAAAATGGATTTAAAAATGATTTTAATGAAAGAAAAATGAGTTTATAATATTTGAAAGTTAAGGTTATAGAAAGTAATTTAGGCAGGTTGGATATGTTTAAACAAAAATAAAAGTTTTGCTAAAAAATAGTTTATTAAAATTAATATATGGAAAAATTACCAAAAATAAAAAAAAAATAAAGAATGGATAGAAGTTGTGTAACATAGTTTGTTCAAAATAAAAGTATCATCATATGTTCACTTAGAAGGAATAAATAGATGATGAAAAATCATAATATACATAATAATACATATTTATTTATATCTCTTTGAAGTGTTGATATGATACAATAAAGCTTACAAAAATGCCAAGAACTTGTTTTATTTTATTGCACAATCATGAAATAAAAAGAAGAAAAAAGAGAAGGAGAAGAAGGTCCATGAGTTTCTTGCATACCTGGTAATTCCCAATTATTCGTGATTTGAAACATGCTGCACAAAACATGAAGTAGTACTCCCATTTGCGTATGAATCTTTCATCAAACCCAAGGGCAAGAATCTTGCTATAATAACCAAAAATAAATCAACAATAGAAAATAGATATATAATGAGAAAAAAAATTAAGCTAATTGCATATGAATGGCAACCAAGCGAAGTAATTATGGATAGCATATTTTCTTGGTGAAAACCAAATTAAAATAATTTTAAACAAAAGCTTTGGAGGGATTTTTTAAGAAGGTGAATGCTCTGTTTGAAATGATAATTATTTAGAAAAATAAAAGATAAATTGATCCCAAATAACCACCAACTTTCAAAGCACAAATTTGATGTAGGAAAGAATCAATTCACGCTGCATAGTAGTTATCAACTAAGCTAGTTCGCCCTCATGCTTCAAGGGATTCTTACCATTTGTATGTCATCAAATTTTCTCTCCAATACATTAATCCTCGGTAGAAATGTATGCCTATGTTCTCCACATGCTCAACACTGCATGATTGCAAGAATAAGCCCATAATTTGTCAAATAATAGAAAAGTGTTTCATAAAAAAATAAAAATTTCCATAAATAAGCAAACTTATAACAATCACTATTACAAATAAGAAAATTAGTTATAGAATTCATGAAGAAAGCCAAAATATCAGCCAAGATAATTTCTTACCAGAGTTGAGAGGAAGAAGTCATGGCAGAAACTACTCTGTTTAAAGAAGGAAGACATCCACCAGGAAAAATAATGTCTAGTATAAAACCAGGTGTTTGTCTTTGTTCTTCATATCTTTGATCTGGGACTGAAGTAAACTGTAAAAAAACCCATAACTTTTAGTGCATTATAAAAGAATAACCTTAACTTGTATGTAAGTGTGTGTGTGTGTGTGTGGGTAGGTGTATGTATATATATAATTCAACATAATTATTCTAATTATCCACGAAGCAATAACTATAAGAAATTAGAAGATTTTTCTGAGATATAGATTGATATAGTTCATATAGTGGGCTTAGAATAGCGGTTAGCTTGCAAACATTATGATTTAAAAGTTGTTTATCGGAAAAAAGTAATTTAATATCAGATATAGGGTTAGTATGGATTCAACATACAATCATATGCCCCTGTACCATCACTGTTCATATGGGATTTCAATAAATTTATTATAATTACAATAACTTGTAGTTAGTAATGTTAATATCCCTTTTATGTTATTTTTTTCATAAGTTCAAAATTTGAGCTTGTTTTAATCCTTGATTAATTTAAGTTTATTTGGCTTAATTGCCATGTAATTTACACCAAGAAAAAAAAAAGAGAGAAATACAAGCTTAAAATTAAGACAAGTAAAAAGGAAAGAAATTAAGGAAAAGAAAGCATATATGCTAGAAAAAAAATGATATGGGGAATATGTTTTTCAAATATGAACCTGTAGAACAATTATGCCATCTTCAGCCAAAAGGTTCTCACAACAGCTAAAATATTCTTCCATGTATTCATGACCAACTGCTTCGATCATTTCACTGTTAAGGCAAGTTCAACTTATCATTAGTATCTAAGATTAAGCATCTATGCATTTATTCTAAAAAGTAATGTGACATAACCATTTTTCTTTATAATTGATGCTTTTTATGAATGCTCAAATGATATTAGAATTTCATGAAATTTTGTATGAATCTGGCTTATTAAGTTGTCTATTAAAGATTATTAAAATTACTATATTGTCAAACACATATTTGCTGAAGGCATGCATCTTAGAACACTGAAATAAGCTGAACAAACTTTAAACAATGACTTCAAAATTATTTTAGCTGACTAATTCCAACCCTAAATGATTATTTTATTGTGATAATTGCTTAATAATATTAAAATTGCCGAAATTTGAGCATAACAAATCAAATCATCCCAAATATTAGATCGGACCTATACAAACTTTTCATCATATATAGATCATATAACATTAAAGGAGGGAGCAATATATAATCACTACCACCTTAACAAATCCCCATAGAACGTTTAACACATGCATCCATTTGGAGTCACTCTATCACAATAAGGTGTGCTCAATATAGTGTAGTTCATATGATTAGAGATAGGCTTGTCGAAGTTCCCTTGACCTCCACAAACACCCTTTTATTAATGAGCCATTTGTAATAAATGAATACTCTAGAAGAATTAAATATTTTGATATAAGAAAATGATAGTTTATCATTTAAATATTATTAGCTCTAAACTCAATTTATAAATCTTATAAGAATTTATTTACATTAATTTGAATTTTGATATGTTAAGTATGTTAAGTTCACGAAAACAAAATCTATATTGTGACATTGTTCACCAATTTTAATATTTCATTAAATGCTGTCATTGGAAAACCACTATTAACCCCTAGTTGTGTATGCATCATGTTAGCCTTAACCTAAGCTAGTTAATTAAGTGGCCCAAAGGAAAGATCTTCTTGGCACTTTTAATTTGAGGGGGCATGATGATTTCTATCTATTGTTAATAAGAATAAAATATTTAATATAGCTTATTCATATGAAGACCATAATACCACTCTCATCAACCTATCTATTGTTATCTGATCATCACACGTTCTCATCATATCTCAATAGAAACAAAAATTTGTCATTTAGCACAGCACCCAGAGACTTGTCAATGGCACTAAGACACTGATGATGTGGCAAATGACAAGTCAACAGAGAAGATAACGTTCGTGTCACGATTTGCTGACATATGTCATATGAGAAAATGTCGACTCACGGGTGTTGCCGACATGGCTTTAACATTCTCGTTCAATCAACCACTATCCTTGAAACCATAAAATTTTCTCATGGCGCTAGCCCAACACCTCAACACTGGAAAGTACCACTCAGGCTCTATCATGGCACCTAGGCTCTAGAAAGTGACACCTTAGATCTATCCTAACACTTGGGCTCTAAAAAGTGGAATCTGGGATCTGAATCCTTTTTAAAAGAATTTGAGTGCAAGTGTTCCGAAGGACAATGACTTGGGTTCTGAGAAGTTGTAAGCAGTGTTATCATCAAAATGAGTTAAGAAAATGCTAACACTAGATTTATGCCACAACCAGATTTAGTTAAATTACCTCTTAAATACCCAAATTTTATGTTATTTCAACCTTAAGGAGGATCTCCTTCTTTCTTTAAGTCAATACAATGATGTTCATCCGCAACCTCACTTGCCTCCCAAAAGTTCCATCATTTCTACACCCACAACTAGAAACACCTTTACTACCCTCAATCATTTCCATTATATCATGCCTCAGTCAACACCTAAAGGTCATGCCATCTACAATGTTATAATAAAGACCATGCTAGTATTCCTTAAACACTTCTATAATCTTCCAATGTTCCTTCTCCAAAAAACATGAAGACTGTGCTAACTCAATCTCACGGGGATGATCAACTCAACCATCCTTTCACTACCTTCAACTCTTGATAACTTCACCTTCAAAGAAGGATCAACCTTGTCATTTCTAATGAGCTTCATGACCTTCTCATGTTGCCTTAACACTACCTTCAAGTCGCAATATCTCCTCTTTTATGAAAGAATTAATTTGACCATCTTCAATAGTTTTCATAACCTTCACATGCTATATTAAAGTCCTAACATCTTCACCTAAACGCAATATCTCCGCCTTTATGAACGAATTAATTTGACCATCTTCAATAGTCTTCATAACCTTCACATGCTATATTAAAGTCCTAACATCTTCACCTTTAGGGATGGACTATATTTATCCTCATTAATAACCTATATAGCCTCCATTTGTCGCCTCATCCTATCAGTCTATTTTGATGCCTAAAACTTTTTGGAAGGATCAATTCAAATTCCTTGATATCTTTTAAGACCTTTCCATATTATCTCATATATTGCCTTCAATTCATGTCAAATATGCCTCTAGAAGAGTATCATTCTAGCAATTGACCTCATTATAACGACATCAACACTAAATATACTGACAATAATTTACATTTACTTGTTGTGTGGACTCCTTCTTCAAATTTAATGGAAGTTAACTATTTCTAACTTTTTTGTGCAACCCGTGAAAGATATTTTGACTTGACCAAATCTCGTAGTTTTCACCATTATGCTTTTTTCATATAAAAACTTGTCCCATGATTACTTCATTTATGCGATTAATAATGTGTTGAATATCACCTAAATTGATGTGATTCAAGTCTAACTTTATTAACCAGGTCTTACATTTCACCCTTGTATAATTTTGAGTAAGAGACTAATACACTATATATATATATATATATATAATATATATATATATATACACACGCAAATTTCAAAGCTTAAAGATTTCAATAAATAAAATTTACATTGAAGTTATCAATAATCACCCTCAATGAAGAAAAATAATGCCTAACATTTTACTTACAATTAGTTTGAGAAATTTTACTTCGAGATATATATCGAAAAAAAACAAATGCATGGTAGCATGAAGATGTTGATTAATAGTACCAAGATATAATGCGATCATATTTCCTTGATTTTGACAATTGGCGATAATCACACAGCAACAATGTTATCTTCTCCTGTAAAATAAAAAAGTAAAATAATCTCATTAATATTTTTTGTTAAATGAATATCTTTATTCTTGCACAAGATGTGTGATTCAAATAAATTGTATATTTTTGTTAAAAAACTTTTCTCATAACACTAAATCTCCATCAAATAATAGATTTTCTATCAAAATATAACTCTCTTGTAGGCACAAGGATTCATAAATAAACACAATATTTAGCTCAAATAAAAGCTTTTGACCTAAACATGAGTGTTTATCAAATTATGATAAATTTTAAAATATAATAAATAATGAATAAAATTAAGAAAATTTTGAGCTTAGTTCCAACATGGCTTCATTGGGTAATTATAATCACATGACAGAATATATAAGAGAGAGAATGTGAGTGTATAAGAGAAAGAGAGAGTAAGAGAGATAATATGTGTATATGAATAAACTCATTCTCTCGCCATCATATTTTAATCTATTATCGAAAGAGTAAATATTTTAAGCCACAATAAGAGAAAATATCTGGGAAGGTCTTCATTATAAAATGAAGCTTTAATGTTTTTTTTTTTTAATTTTTATTTTCTGACTAGAGAAAATTATTATATATTTTAATAGGGATAAATCTATCTCACATAAGTAGATATTAAAACAGCAAGAGAAGAAAGGAGATGAAGGAGAAAAGGGATTTAGCACTTACAGGTAAAAACTATGGAAAACAGCAGCTCTCTGTTCACAGCAATAAACCTCTCACAGAGAGGATTTTCCCCAATACCCGAATTACTGTAGCTAGCAGCATTTATACACATTGCCAAAACTTCTAGACACAGATAGTTATGAGGGCATACTAGTAAAAGTACTTAGTTGGTAGTGGAGGCATCCCTTTTGCTGAGTAAGGTTTATGCTTTATTATCCCCCCCTCGAGCTGATGTTGCTCGTTTGAAGGGTTGGCTTGTCACGTAGAAGGAGAAACTGAGCTGTTGGAAGTCTTGGTAAAGATGTTCGTCGGTTGATTTTTGGTGGAAAAGTGGTTGATGACAACTCCATTAGATAGAATTTTCTCTCGAATGAAGTGATAATCTATTTTCATATGTTTAGTACGAGCGTGAAAGACCTGTTTTTGAGCGATAGCCATAGCAAGTGTTGTCACAATGTATTGTAGTTGGGGCTGTGAGCGAAACATGAAGATCATATGACATCAGTGGCTGTCATGGAGAGAGCATGATATTCAGCTATGGTTGATGAGCGAGCTACGATGGGCTGCTTCTTTACCTGCCATGAGATGAGAGTATTGCCCAGAACGGAATAGTGGCCTGTGATAGATCTTCTGTCAGTTGTGTCATTAGCCCAACTTGAATCTGAGTAGCTGTGGAGTGTGAGTGTTCCTTGGCGAACGGGAAGACAAAAGGAGATGGTCCCTTTGATGTATTGAAGGAGTTTCAATTGTTGGAAGTGAAGACGTAGGGGCTGCTGTAGATATTGAGATGGTGTATTTACCACTAAGGTAAAATCCGGACTTGTTATGGTTAAGTATTGGAGGGATTCAATAAGATATCGGTAGAGGTGCAGGTTGGCAAAAGGTTGTTGCAGCTCTGGAATGATTTTCGGTTGTAATATGGTGGGATCAGGTGTAGTTTTACGATATTCCATGCCAGCTTTGTTTAGAATATCTGCAGCATAATGGGATTGATTAAGAAAGAGGCCTGCGTCTGTATATTTGCTCCTAATGTCAACGTAGAGAAGAAGGTAGAGTGTGGTGGAGTTCTGGTGATAGATGAATGAGAGGGGTCGATATGACTTTTATGTAAATTAAGTTGAAGAAGATGACCAGTAAATGTGTAGAACCATTGATGCGGCGATTGTTTGAGGCTGTAGATGGCTTTTCCTAGCAAGAATACATTGTGAGGATATTGTTCATCAGCATAGCCCGGATGTTGGCACATGTAAATAGTCTCTTGAAGAGTGTCGTGAAGAAATGCATTCGAGGGGTCGAGTTGAAAGATAGGCCATTGACGATTAACGACGATGGTGAGAAGTGTGTGAATAATAGGATGTTTGGAGCTGGGACTAAATGTTTCATGGTAATAGAGACCATGTTCTTGTTGATAGTCTTGGGCAACTAGTCTAGCCTTATACTTGGTTATGGTTCCATCTACTTTTCTCTTGATCTGATATATCCATTTGCAGCTAAGGATGGATTGGCGAGGAGGAGGAGGAACCAATGTCCGGGTGTGCTGAATATGGAGAGCTTTAAGTTCAGCTGCCATTGAGGGTATCTTGAGGCTTCCTTTTCAAAGGTGATGGACTACTGTAGTGAGAAAATGTGTTTCAGTTTCAAGGATCCAGTTTTGAAACGTGTAAGAATTGGATGGGTCGGTTGTGTTGGGGAATTGGTTGGCGGTGAAGTTAAGTTTGCCGCAGATGTGGCGGTGTGGGTCGATTGGAGAGTACTTTCGTGGACGGGTGTTTGAGGAGAGCTGATTTGAATTGAAGTGGTCGCGGGATGTGACGAGGGCTGTTGGGTGCAGAATGGTATGGATGTAGGGAGAAGAGTTAGAGGTGCTTGTGTAGGTGTGGTGGATAGAGGAGTGGCGTGAGGGTGAGGTTGATTGTACGGGGAGTGGCTTCGTTGAATGTGACGTGTCGTGAGACAATCACCTTGCCGCTGAGAGGTTGAAGGCATTTATACGAAATTTTCTGGATAATCAAGAAATACACATTTCTCAGATCTTTGGTCTAGTTTGGTGCAATGAGGAGGAGGAAGCCATGGGAAGCAAGCACATTGTCGGGAGAAGGCATTCTATTGATGAGATGAACAACAGTTAGGATAGTACCTGGCGGGAACTTTGGTCATAGATGAGAGCGACAAATAATGTTATGATGTTTTCGTTCTGGCAAGGCCGTTTTGTTGGGTGTGTAGGAACATGAGCATTGATGGATAGAACATGAGCATTGATGGATAATGCCATTCCTCGCCACAAATTCATCAGTATTATTCTTATACTCTCCTCCTCCTTTAATTTGTGCATTGTATTGCTTTTCTACATGATTTTTAAAATGAGTAGAGTGAAGTAGAGTTTGAGATTTATGGATCATAGGAAATATCCAAGATACGTATCTTATTGCATCATCAACGAAAAGAACATAATATGGATATCCTTTATTAGACATATATGGGGAAGGCCCCGCTACATCCAGTGGTGGAAATTGTAGAGACGATCGCTGTGCTAAGTTCTGGTCGATTAGAATCAAAGTGCGATAAGCTGGTTGGGGTTCGAATCCACCGAATCCATCGGCATTGATTATCTTTGACCTTTGTGACTTCCATAAGGGACAGTTATCGGTGGATAGGGAGGTATTGACGACGATTCTTATGTTTGAGACCAGAAATTTGAGCGATGGAGGCAAGGAACATTCTTCGATCTTCGATGCCGCGAGATTATCATTGACATTAATGGTATCAGAGCTCTGCCTTGGCGTCGACCCCGCCGAACTCAGCTCCTCCATCTCATCTTACATCCCGTCCGGCCATCTCGGCCTCGATTTTGACTCGTTTAATTCAATCCACCGCACCCCTCGGTGACGCCCTATTCGATGCCGATGGCGGCAGAGGAGAGGTGGAGATGAGAGAGAGGCGTTTAGGGTTTTGGATGAGGATGGAGATGAATTCATTTCTGCGAAAGAGTTGTAGGTGGTGCTCGGGTAGCTGGTTTTGGCTGAAGGGCTAACCCTAGACAGGGTTCAGCTGATGATTGGATTTGTGGACCGGGATAATGAGTTTAAGGGTTTGTTTGGCGCAGCTTATTGGGAGCGGCGGCGTTTTGAAAGCGTCGCATGACTGTTTGGTTAACGCGTTAGCACGAGCGTATTCCCACCACTTATATGCGGTGTTAGCGACATAAGGCGGAGCGCGATAAGCTCTCCTCCACGTCCTGCGTTGAGTTCGAGCGTTTAGGGTGAAAAAGACGCCCCGTGCCCATCTTCAGTCTCCCTCGCCCTCGCCTTCTTCCTTGCTGTCGTTGAGAAATTTGGCAAGAATCCACTCTCTGCTCTCCCTCTCGTCGCCCTCTTAACGAAACCCTACTCTCTCGTCTGGTATGTATATCGTTTACGATCCTTCTGTGTTTTTGCTAGATGTTGTTCGATCCCTGATTTGTGCGGCTTTGCATCTTGTTTGGATGGACCATTGGTGGTTATTGGTGGTTTTTAAGGAATTTTGGATTGATGGTTTTGTATTCTCTGAACTTTCGATACACAGTTTTGGGTCTCCAACCTCTGATTTGTTGCAAAGCTTTTCGAGCCTTCTCTGAAATTTCTTTTTACTGAATTTGAAATTTTGATGAAAGTATCGGCAGGGTGTTCCGATCAAAATTGTGAATAAGCTGCATTGCATGAGTTTTGGCTGGGTGTTCTTATCTTTGTGATGGTTCTTATTGATGGAATTTGGGCCCTAATCCTTCTCTATCCCTCTCTCTATGTCGTGAGATGTCTCAGTAAGATGCATCCTCTCTGTTCGACTCCTATGGAATTTGGGGCATTGCAGTGGCTCTTTATTGTTTTATTTTGGATCTGCCGATCTTGGAGTATTCCATATCTTCCATATGCAATGATTTTTAGTTTCGTCAAAATAGTATGGAAATGCATATTGGCAGTGATTTTTAGCCGACCTATAGGATTTTGAAATTTTGGCTATTATAGCGGCATTCCTGCGGCACTTTTGAGAAGTG